CTGCAGGTTTCACATAATTAATAAAGATACAATTCTGAGTTAAAATAAACTTGTTAATATTCTTTTCTCAACAGGAGCAAAGAATGACAGAATACGTATGATTCTGGCAATTAGGTGTAAATCTGCTGTAAATGTAGACTCCCTCATCTGTTAAACTGATTCATAAATAATTATTAGCAGTTTTCTAGTTTTAATCCATTTACTGTTTAAAATAATCCACATACTATAATTTACTATTTGCATTAATATAAAAACAGATGAAATAATTAGGATTTTCAAAAAAACAATATTTAAACCCTTAGCAAATTCAAAATGTTAAAAAATAATAGCTTCCTTATAAGTGATTTATTATATCCCATGCAATCTAAAAAATAAATGTATTATTTATTTGTTAAAGAAGAGTTGTATCTCTTAGGAGAAAACATGGATGTACTTCTGTTCAAATGCAATGACATACAAATGAATTGAAAAGTTATGCTAAATAATTATAAAGCTGTGAGTACTTAAAAAAAGGCAATAATATTTCACTAAATATATTCATTAGTTACTCACTTCCAGGCTCAGTCCTTATTGGAACTTCTTCTTCCTTGAAGGGCCCTTCTTTGTTGTAGATGGGACGGACCTTACAACTGTAAACCGCGAATGGTTGAAGTCCTCCAATGTCACACGTTCCTCCATCAGGTTTACTTTTCTTTGTTCCTTCATTTCCAGGATCTGTATTATGATTAATTTAAATACAGTAGCTTGTTAGGAAATATTGTTATAATGATTCTAATGATACATGTTAAAGTTAAATAAATGCTGAAGAAGAATTTGGCCTGTTTGTCAAATTAAACATGAGGTGAATAAAACATTTCCATTAAAGTCGTCCACAGGTCACTGCTGCTTGAACACATTGATAGTTATGAATCAGAGCTTTACTGATCATATCTGGTTATTACATTGATATTAATCTCCAAATGTATTTTATGTAAAAGAAATATAACAGTTTTCCATATTCAGCTAAATATCTAATACTTAGATGATACTACTGACAATATATTTAACATTATATATATACTAGAAAAAAAAAACAAATCTAATAACTTTACTCACATTTGCTGTTCTGACAATCACAGCTGTAAGAGAGCTCATCCAGGTTGTGAAAAACATCTTGACATTTATCACTCGTTGTAATCCAGCTCAGGTTAATGGAAGTGTTGAATATTTTAATGATCTTTAAGTCTCTTATTGTAAAATCTGTTGGAATAAAATAAAATAACCAATGAATCCAGTTCCTGTTGTTTTTCGCTCCACACTATGTTAATATAATAACTTTGTTCTTCTTTCCACTGAGATGCAGTAGTTTTTT